TAACAGGTTCAGTTATACAGATTGTTTAACATGTATTTTTTTATTTACGTGGAGAAGTAACTGAACCAGCAAATGACCACAGAAAACATGGGAAGGTGTGTTTCTCCTTGCAGAGAGAGAGGCTTGGAGACAATCTGTTTTAGGAACAAGGTTTCTGTAGTTCTGCTCCTGCTTGTGCTTTTGAGATCCACTGTATATGCACAAAACTGGCCACTAATATTAGTACTTCTCATAGATGGATTTGTGGTAACCAGGCAGTTGCAACTGACTGCTTGTTCACAATCTGTTATTTTGTTTAAAAATCAAGTGGATTAAACACTTCCTGTACAAATCTGCATGCATTTATGGTCATTTGTGTGCAAAAAATTTTTTTTTTTGCCACTCAGTTCTAAAATCCTTACACTAGGAAAAAAATCTGTAGAAAATGTAGAAGTGGATTGGGAGACACTCTTCCTCTTTAAGCACCTTTTAACTGCTGTCAAGTAAAGAATGAATTTGGGATTTCCCTGACTAATGAGAAGTCCATTAACTCGTACTTCTCCATGAACTAGAATATACCCCAGAGGGCTGGAGATCTGACATTGAATCCTTTGTGTCCTGAATTATATTCTGCCTTCATAAATACCTGAAGTACCAAGTTTGCAGAAATTTGGTAACTCAAGCAGCTGTTAATCCCTCCACCAAATTTACATTTCTAAGTCACAGAGATAAGTTATTTATTTTTATGCCTCCTTGTTGACTTCACTATAATGAAGAGTATGGTAATTATTATTTAGCTGCCTCCCAATACAGTTCCCCGGGCCATGTTTGTGATGCAACTGTTTTTTAGCTTTCCACTTACATCCTTGGTTTCCGTGGTGATCATTGTAATAATTGCTAAATATGCCATAGAATATATTACTGTTTTCAAGGTAAAGTAAATTAAACTAATTACTCTCTGACGTGTAAAGAGAAGAAGCAGGCATTGAATAGAAATTAAAGATGAGGAATGTATTATTGTTCCTTGTCGATATAACTGACATAAAAAGCACATGCTGTAGGAGTCAGAACAAACCTACAAACGGTCCTCCAAGAAGCGCATAACAAAACCCCAGCAGGAACAAGACTGGCTCTGTGGTCATGATATAAAGTCATGAACGAGTTTCCTAGTGACTTTTCAGGGGCTTTGGATGAATCAAACAAGTGAACACTTGGGGAAAATGGGGAAGAGGAGGTGATTTTGTGAAATCTTGAGATCCTCCAGCTCCTAGGAAATTTCAGAGAGCAGACAGCACTCATCAGCTTCCCAAACTGAGCCTTCAGTCACTGACAGTGGCTACCTTTTGCCAAAGGCAGTGTTTCCCCTTGGCACTGTTGCAGATTACTGGGACAATAGCAGGGAGAAGGCTAAGCTGTGGCAGCGCTGAGTTTCCCTGAAGCAGTTTGCTGACAACTCTGTTCCTCCAGATGCTTTACAACCAGCACAGTGCAGTTAATCTCAGTGTACATTTATTCTCAGGTATACAGCTAAAGCAATTCCTTTAAGTCTCTGTTGAACCATGGTGTGGATTTACATGCGAGAGAAAGAGATGAAGGAGAAAACTCTCTGTAGCACAAGATGGAAACGATACCTGGAGAACGACTGAGTAATGGTTAGTTTTAGGCTCCTTTAGGGAAATGGTCAAAAGTTATGTGTTGCCCTTCGACAGAGGAACTTCTCTTTCAAGTAATCAAGTGTGTCTAACAGCTAGTGAAGCCAGACTCCTGACAAAGATGCCTAGGTACCTACAATACAGTAATGAGCAGTAGAGGGTAATACATGTCAGGGCTCCTTATTTTGATGCATTTCAGCTATTGAAAGCTATGTGTCGAAATAGCTGATACTGAATTGCTGAGCCAGACGTGGTTTGGTAGCTCCAAAAAGTGGACTGGAGTCAGGTCCCCAAACCTCCCCTGGGTGACTGGGTCCCTGCCTGCATGACTGGACTCCACTGACGTTGCTAGGCCTGTTTGCGTGAGTAATGGCTACTGACCAAGGAGTTTTCAAGATCTGTGCAGGGATGAGGGAACCACTGATAAACAGCAAAACAAATCAGATACTAGAAATGTGGAGTCATACTTCAAACAGGATGTAAATATAAGGGATTAGCCTGGAAGTCAGCTGTCTAGACATCACTGAGCAGAGAATAGATCTGGGGATGTTAGCAGATGCTGAACTTATGAGGCAAGTGAAATATTTTTATCAAATGAACAAGCAATTTTGTTTCCTGTTAGCTCTATGGCAAGAGGTTATTTATTTTCACACATGCTGAAACAGAAATATTCAGAGCTTCCTGTTATTCCCTCTGCTTCAGGCTAAAAAGGTAAAATCCAAATTCCTTATCTTTTAATCCTCATGGTCAGTCTGTCCTAGTTTGAACAGCTGCATATAATACACGCTCTCTGAGGCGCCATAAGTATGAGAAGAATTAATGAATGAGACAGACAAGGCATGCGTGAGAAAGAGACAGAGAAAGCAGCTGGGTATGCACTGGTTAAATCAGACTGAGGGTTAACTCAATGCATTTCAGAGCTCAGACTCACAACTGAATTATTGCATCTTAGCACAGAATCAGAGAGTGGTTTGGGTTGGAAGAGACCTTTAAAGGTCATCTAGCCCAGTCCGCCTGCAGTGAGCAGGGACATCTTCAACTGGATCAGGTAGCTCGGAGCCCCATCCAACCTGGCCTTGAATGTTTCCGGGGATGGGGCATTGACCACATCTCCAGGCAACCTGAGCCAGTGTTTCACCACCCTCATTGTAAAAAATGTCTTCCTTGTATCCAGTCTAAATCTACCCTCCCTTAGTTTAAAACCATCACCCCTTGTCCTGTCACAAAAGGCCCTGCTAAAAAGTTTGTTCCTGTCTTTCTTATAAGCCCCCTTTAAGTACTGGAAGGCTGCTATAAGGTCTCCCCACTGTGTTCCCTTCTCCACCCTGCACAGCCCCAACTCTCTCAGCCTTTCCTCACAGGAGAGGTGTTCCATCTTTGTGGCCTCCTCTGGACCCACTCCAACAGCTCCATGTCTCTCCTGTGCTGAGGGCTCCAGAGCTGGACACAAGATTCCCGGTGTGGTCTCACAAGGGCGGAGCAGAGGGGAAGAATCCCCCCCTTCGCCCTGTGCCCACACTGCTGGGGATGCAGCCCAGGGTATGGTTGGCATTCTGGGCTGCCAGAATATTGTTAGCTCATGTCCAGCTTTTCACCCACCAGTACCCCCAAGTCCTTCTCCTCAGGGCTGCTCTCAATCCCTTCATTCCCCAGCCTGTGTTGATAGCAGTGTTTGCCCTGACCCAGGTGCAGGACCCTGCACGTGGCCTTGTTGAACCTCATGAGGTTCACACAGGCCCACCTGTCCAGCTTGTCCTCAAGTGGTCACGAACCTCATCTTCCCTTACAGCTTCATAAAGTACTGTGCATCAGCTGAGTTGTGCTAACTGCCCATGGCGTTGAAATATAGTTTCAAATATTTTCACTGCTTTTCACTAAATTTAGCTATATTATCTCACGCTTGCTGCCAGGCTGTACACATAGAAGGTGACTGCAACACGTGATTTACCACCCTGTTATCTATGACAGCGGAACAGATTCTTTTCCCTGTATCTATCTCAGCCATGCTAGATCACAGTCCAATGCACAAACTGCTAACAAAGATGGGCTTAAACCCAGCTGCCAAACTGCATACTGGCAGGGTGGAGCCTTGGTTGTGCCGTCGGTGCTGTTGACTCTGCTGCAAAGGCAGAAATCCAGGGCAGAGGATGAGGGAAAACCATCCGGAACTGCTGCAGGTGTTTGTTCAGGGAACACAGGTCAGAACACTCAGCAAATAATCTGTGATAAAATTAATCCTTGTATCTTCAAAAATTATTCCTGCCAGATATGGAAGCTAAAGTACTTGAAGTCCTGTTTATGCTTACAGAAGGTCAGCGCCGAGGTGTGCCTCAGTTTAATGAGCCCTCGTTCTGTAGTTCACTTACATGGATTCAACTGCTACTGGCAGAGGCTGCAGAAAGAAACCAGTTAGAAAGACTGTGGGACAGCTGGGAAACGTGATGGGAGCAGCAAATCCTCAGGCAGTGCAACTTCAGAGTTTACTTGGTCAAGTTTGTGAGAGCTGCCACAAGTCGCAATTGCTGCAAAGAAACTCTGAGGATCTGCCTCTAAGAAACAAAGTAAACAAAGAGTATTTCAAGCGAGTTCTTAGAAGGTTATTTTCAGTGCTACACAAACTAACCATATGTAGGAAACTTTCATAGCGAAAACCAGCTCAGTGCTGGGAAAGCAGGTGAATTATCTACAGTTACAGACACCCAGGTGAGGTAAGACCCAACAGTCACGTCTGCTGATTAAACAAATCAAGAGCTGTTTGATTTTTTCTGCTCACCAGGCTTGGAACAACTCCTCTTTGTGAGTCACACTGAGTCTGATGAGGGCCAGGATCTGAATTAGGCCTGTTCTTGTCTTCAGAGGGACCGTCCTCCTGTGTACAAAAGAAGAATGTTGATTCCTGCCAAAGGTGCTTCACCCGCTTTCAGCTTCCTCCATCTGGGCCACTTGCACACAGCTTTGTGACTAGAGAAAACCAGCACTCCCTTGGCTGCTATCCAGCCTGTCACCCGAGGATGGGGACTGCAGTTGCTCTGGGACAGCAGCAATGCTTTCCTTCCCTTCTGTTTAAATATTGAGGGGGGAGACCTGGAAGGCACAGAGGATCTGGACCTGAACTCCTCTCTAGGCTTTCGAGCCTGGAGAGAGAGACAAAGGAAAGCACAGTCACAAAACAGGAGGAATGTGGGAGGCAGCTGTCAAAACAATCATCACAAGGCATGTCACAGGGAATCTGCAGGGGCTGGTTTTGTGCCTGCTCATCTTTGCCAGTCAGTGGAGACAGCCAATGAATATAATTTCTCATTGTCATCAACACCTGCCTTTACTTACATGCAGACTTTCCCCAAAAGTCTTCCCTTTGTGAGGGCTTTCTGACATTATCATCCAGCCCCTACTCAGCAATCCCACCAGAGAGCAGAGCAGACCACCTGGGCACCATTGCACTAGCTCTGAAGAACTTTTGGTTGAAAAAAGCAACTATACCAATCAAATTTCACAGTCATCTCTAGGGTGACTAAGTCATTATTAAGGACGGCTAATCTGTTTACCTTCTGGTAGCTTTGCCTTTCTGGGACACTGGTTGTACCTACAGGGTTCAAGAATAGTGGCAAAGAGGAGGGCCGGCATCTGACTTCCGCATCTGGAAGATCTTGGTTCTAGAAATAAGATGACAGCAGTGTAAGAAGACAAGCACCTGATGGGCATGGACTACAACATATCAACGCATCTCACTACTCCGAATTTTACTTCTAGTGGCTCAGAGAGGTTGTCTACATGGTATTTTTCAGTCAGATATAAATTTGCCCTGCTTGTACTTCGAGCTGAGTGGAAGCTGTAGGAATATAAATAGCTGAACTAGTAGTCCTGGCCGGCTGAAAGGTGCAGAAACTTGGGCCTGAGCTTGAACTAACAGAGCTTCCAGCTGCCTCTACATTGGCAGACTAGATGTGGATCAGTTTATAGAACAGCGTGTAAAGATAACCAAAAAGCTCACGAGAAGAAGAACACACAAGTTTTCATTCTGACGCATCAAAAGTACAATTCATTGCAGCATCAGGTCAATCATCTCCTAATTTCCATGTCGCTTACTCTTCAAAGAGACTCCTTCAATGTAAAGTCACTCCCAGTGCGGACAGACTGTGCAATGTCTACTTAATACATAAATGAGTTTCTGATTAACCAAGGCAAGAGTTAACTTGCAAGGCCAAAATCAGGAAAATTCCTTTGCACAGGTTTCTAATGAAATCGCAGACTTATTTCTTTCTAAAAATCAAGCGCAGTAACGTGTCACCTGAGGGCAGCATCCACCTCCTTTGGCCTCCCTGCAGATTGAAGAGATCACGGTGACCCAGTCCTCTGTTTCCTGCCTGTGGGTTGCAACAACAGAAATGAAAACCTCCTCACAGGTAAAACACAAGGAAAACCCATTTGCCTACATGCTTCTTCCTGTGGGGCCCAAAATAATGCTCCCTGAAATCAGTGGGGAAAATCTGCACCTTCCTGTCAAGGGAGAGTGCTGGGGTGGCCATAGCCAGATGGCAAAGTTTGACCTTGGAGAGGTGCAGCCTGGACCGGGAGCTAAAAGGTGTGCAGGACAGGGAGAGAGAGAGGAATGGAGAGGTGGGACAGTGCTTTCTGCTGCATTCTCTGTGTGTCATGCTGCTCTGCCAAGCCAAGCCCTGCCACAAAGACAGCTAACAAGGCTTGCGAATGTGTTAGGGCGAGCAGGACAAGAAACCTGCCGTGAAAGGACCCCTGAGCCCTGTTTCACTCCTGCGGTGGATTTAGTTGGATTAATTCTGGAATGCTTCCCACCAAGCGTGGGCCATGAGAGCAGTGCCCAGGGGGAAGGCGTGGGGTGGCACGCTCAAGTAACACTCAGGTATGTGTTTTTCTTCTGCGCTTATCAGCATTTCACACATCAGCCGCTCTTCTGCATGAAGGCAGAAAACCCCCCGACACGCTTGTGGCTGGGAAACTGAAGAGGAGAAGCTGGGAAGCAGCAGCAGAGGAGCGCTGTGCCAAATGTCCTCCCTCGCCTAACCGAGCTTCGGCTGATCACCTCGACAGCAGCAGCTTCTGCCCTTGCTGAGGACTGGACTGGGAGAGCAAGGAGCACACCACCCTGCTGCAGTAAAGGCCCCGGTCATTCCTTTTGGGATCTGTTTTCCCTTGGTGGAATTTTCCCCTTCAATCTGCTTCCCTTGGTTAAGAAGCTACTTTCCAGGGCAAGATTATTTCCTGTGATTTATCCATAAGGAGCAGAAGCTTTCCTAACTCCCAGGAGCCGCTGGGTGAGAAGATAAAGCTCTCTGCTCTTCCCTGACCCTTAATCAGTACAGTTTGCCACACTGATGTACTGCCACTGCCATCCCCGTTCGCAGCTGCATGCTCCCACCACTTTCACATGCTGGACGTGGTAACAGCATAGCTGCAGGGGAGCTTAGCTCACCTGTCTGAACCAGCAAAAGATTAACCCGTCCACGGGGGTAGAAAACTGAGACAGAAAAGAACAGTTTGCCATCGGATCAGACAGCTGGATCGTTTCATCCCGGAGCTGCGCCATCAGTAGCTGGGACACAGGAAGGGACAGGGGTGGCTGTGAAGGAGTGGGACTTTTTGCCTTGGGGCAGTGGCTTAGTGTTACGTTAGCTTAACTGTACCGTCATACGGCATTTGCACATCTTTCTGTGCCTACCTGCTGCTCCCGATGAGGTAGTAACATCTGTTTTCTGTACTGATGGACATCACCTGTTCGGGAAGGCATTTAAACATCTTCCTCACCGTTTCCATAATTTCAGAATTCCTTATGCCAACTTCGATACTTATGATTCTGTTAAGACAACCGTACGAAACATCCTATGTAACTATACATACATACATACATACATACAAACATACATACGTTTGTGTATGTGCATATTTTACTCTAAGAACAGCACAATATGATGAGATCTGCATGGAAAAAGGTAAACATTTTTCCACAGAAAAAATTATCAAGAAAATAAGCACACGCATTCAAAACAGATGGCCTTTCAATAAAGAAGACTTCCAAGCCAAAAAAATAAAACTAACTTTTGCAAAGACTCGTGTCCAGATTTTGGATCCTCATTTCTGAAAAAGGGGCTGTTGGTCTCACACAGAATCTTGAAAAGAAATGCCAGTAAGAAAAATTTCTGGCAGATGTTTTTGAACCACTACAGAACAATACATTTGATTTGAAACTAATAGTATGTTAACACAGTTTTAATGGAGGGGAAGTGGAACAGACAAGAAGTACTCTTAATGGGTACTTAAATGAAAGCACTACTTCATTAACTTCCAAGAAGTAAAAATAGTAAAAACAGTAACAACAGTAATGATGGTAATGATGTAACCACATACCACTGAGCAAGTTGGAGTTTTTTCAAAAGCTTTATAATGTAAAGCCTTTTAACGGAAGAAGCACAACAGCAGTGAGAGTCCAGTGACCTCCATGCCTAACAATTCCAGGAGCCTTCATATTAACCTCCAGTTCTGACTGATGGATAAAATCTTTATATTTCCTTTTACATTTACTGTTTCCCTTCTACGTCTCTCATACCACATGTGACACATGGTAAAGGGTGCTAGTACAAAGCCAGTGACACCCAGCCTTGCTGCAGTGGGCACTGCGGAATGAAAGGAGGGATGAAATGATCAACCCAAATGAGCCAAGCGGAGAAATTTCTCTGCTGGGTAAGAGGCAGCGGGGCAGCCAGCATCGGCCCAAGAGGCTGTGTGAAAGCCGGGAGACCTCTGCTCAACTTGCAAAGCACTTCGTAAAGCTGTAAGGTGGGAAAGGTTGTGTGCCACAGTGAAGAGTGGCATAGCCCATCCTTACTCGCATGTGAGAGAATCCATAGCACAGTTCTCCCAGGAGATAAAATGTCTTCTACTACAGGAGTGCAGCCTTTGGGATCGCGGAGCCAAGACGTCTGGTTTGCAGGTACCACATCACCACAGTCACTCGCACAAATGCATCAAATTTCATCAAAGCAATTTAGGATTTTCATTTCTATTCTACATATACCTTACACTGTAAGTTGCACCCAAACCCTACAAAAGCCCAAGAGAGTCTTTTCTGGACTTCAGTGGGATTTTGATCAAGAACTTCAATCAGGAACAAGTGTCTGTACAATCACTGGCCACTTCAGAATGTTGATACATGACTTCAAATAAAAAGGTGATGCATTTGAGTTACATACTGGTCAACAGCGATGGAGCCTTTGATGCTCTGGCCTTTTAGATACTTCAGGATATAATTGCCCTTGCTGGATTTGGATAGGATGAAAAAACGCCTTTTCCAGGAATTCTGCCGAAGAGAAAGTAATTTGTCTCTTATTAGAATTCAGGATAGCAGAAATAACAGATTCTTGTTGAGGGATTGCTGGAATATGACTAATCAGTGCTAGGATACCTGTGAGCTGAACAGTTGAAGAGGTGGTGATTTGATGAGGAATCCGTGCTTGCAGACTCCACCTTCAGGGCAAAACGTATTTTGAGTTCTCTCTAATCAAAGAGAAGTGAATGGCACCGTTACTTAATTTGTTGCCAGTTAATCTGTTTCAAAGACCTGCTTGAACAGGAAATTGCTACTGAGCACTGGGTTTCTGTGTTTAAATGGCCACAAAGCACATTACAATTAGAGAAGCCAAACACAAATTAAGGCTATAAAATACAGAGCCAGGCCATGCTTCCCTGATGTCAACATTGCTGCTGACAAGTGTCCCAAACTGTAAACAAATGACGGTGACAATGTAGGGGGCTTGGAAGATATCATGAGCTTCTGCCTTATTTAACTGGTCGTCTTTAACTTCTGAAGCCTGGTCTTATTTAACTTCACAATTAGTAATCTAGTAAACAGTCCCCTAATGAAATTTGTAGATGGCATTCAGTTTGGATAGGTTGCAAACACAGCTAAGGATGGATCATCTTACACTGTGAATCATGATGTGACAACAGGAAAAAGTCTTACAAGTAAAATATGAGCTAAAACCCTGGGGGGAAAATATGCCTGAATGTCTTTCTTTGTGACCCTGCCTAGTCTGTGGCCAGCTGTAGTTAAAGATTCACATTTTCTAATCACTGGTGGATTTCTGATCAAAGTCTCAATGTTATTAATGCACTTTAACTCCCCATGAAAGGAGCAGCAATCTCATTCCATTTTTTAAGCTATAAACCGTGTATGGGAAATCAAGGGTCTTTTTAAGAATCCATTGACTGAAAGGAGCACAGTCAACCTCATTTTGGGTCTTCCAGTAAGGAACAGTAGAGAATATCCAGAAGTTCTGGGAAACATAACATGACCAAACTTTGTGGTCATGCAAGAAGCACTTGGTTCTGAAATCCCATTTACTACTGACTTCAGTGGAGGTAAGGCTTCATCATCAGTGCCTTGGAGATCCTGACTGTATCTTCCAGTTCCCAGTTAATTTTTAAGGATTTTCATGGTTTTTTACAAATGTCAGTTCAACTTTTGTGCCAGGGACAAGAAAGATTCTGCTGTAAAGGGAAATGCTGTGTTTAGGACAGATTCTTTAAGGAAGGAAGCAGAGGAGCAGAATTAACACACAGTGTAAGTCCAGATGAGATCTCCAAATTTTTCAGTATGCTGTTTTTCCCTATTTTTCACCTCTTGTTTACCACAAAATCCTTGGCAGGTGGAGGGCAAGGACAATGGTATCAAATATTGATAAAATGGACAGAAACCTGATTCAACCTTAGTTGACAAATCTTAGTAAATGAAACTTTGTACCTGCAGAATTTTTTTTACTCGTAGAAGCCATCCTGATTGTTTCTTCCACCCTTCTTCTTTTCACTGCATGCACGGTTGCCTGAGAAAGTAACAAATATCTCGCGAGTATTTATTTTCATAATGATGGTTAAACTATATAAAATAAACATAGAAAAACATATAATAAAATATATAATTAATTATTGTTAATCTGAGCATACTATTATACATCATAATATTTATATTACAAAGTAAATGATACATTATATGCTATAATAGTGTATTTGTTCTATTACAATATAATGATAGAATTTCAAATAATAAAAATTATAAATTTCTACAGGCCAAAGCGATGATTTCCCTAGTAAGTGGTGAGACCTGCTAACAGAACTTCATTTTGCCTTTTCCTTTGCACTAGACACAACACCTGTAACCCAGGAATATTGCATCCTATATATGTTTCTGACACTACCTTAGCCGTGTAATCAGCCCCATATAAAGCAGGCATAGCGTGGCATTAGTTTAAAATCTGTGTAGATAATCTAGTACATAATATGATGGTAATTATAATAATTTGCAAGTCTGTAGCTTTCTTAATGCAATGCCCTCAGAGCAATTTATAGACAGTGATAAAATAAACTTCACAGCTTTCTAAGAGGTGGATTAGTAGTATGATTTTTCAGAGGGGTAAACAGAGAGTATCACTTTTTTTTACGTCAACTTATTTTTGCAGTGTCTCCTCCAGTTTTATCAGGGAAATGGGAATCCCACCGTAAACCTGAGGAGAAGTTAAGTAACTTGCTCACTGGCATAGCCCGGCTGTGGCAGAGACGGGAGTAGAGGCTGGCAGGGAGGCAGAACGCACCAATGCATTTCTACGGAACTCTCCAAAGTTTTGCTAAATAGTGCTTTTAGGAGAACACGCAGGCAGTGGTCTGTGAGATGTGGTAAGTGCAGAAACACAGAGATGGAAGCTTTCAGAAGGCAAAAGGTGGTTTGGTTAATGAGCTTCTGTTGTGATTTACTCCATGGTGCCAGAAGTAAACAAGGTACGGTCAGGAGTGGTGGTCAGAAGTGGCTGGTTATTCTCCAGCCTCATTCACCTGACACGGGGTGGATTCCACACAGATTTTTACCTCTGACACACACCTAAAGCTATAGACCTCCACACCTCCTGTTCCAAGCGATACCATGCTGTAGATGAGAATGACGCACGACAAACTTCGGTCCACTGGAGCTCTCTGCAGAGCAGACACCCCATCCGTGGAAACATTTAAGGTCAGGCTGGATGGGGCTCTGAGCAACCTGATTGAGTTGAAGATGCCCCTGCTCATTGCAGGGGCGTTGGACTAGATGACCCTTAAAGGTTCCTTGCAACCCAAACTATTCCACGATTCTATCATTCTATGATTTCTGCCTGTGTTTGTTGTTTTTTTGGGTTTTGGTTTTTTCTTTTTTAAGGAAACCTTTGCAGTTTTGCCTTCTTGGGAGAAAGATTTGTGGTACAAATGCTGTGACAGACTGTTATAAAATTTACTGCTAGGATTTCATCTATTGCCTACCAAAAAAAGGACAAAAAATCAATTTCCAAAACTAAAAACGAGTGCACACAAAGTCAAATTGTGAGTGTCAATACTGGGGGTGCACGACTGGGGTTGCAATGAAAGGCAGCGTAAAATTCTTTTCAGCGTGACTGACAGAGTCACTGTGCCTGGCAAATGATGCAATTCTTGCCAAACAGTGTTCCAAGAGCCTGTGACAGGATACAAGTCTCTCTGAGTTTCAGTAAAAGTCAAGATTTGCAGGTGGGAAGACAAAAACTGGTGAGATTACACGCGGTGTATGATCTCACTCTGCATTTGGGAAAAAGTTTTTAATTGTTGCATTTAATAGTCTTTTCTCTTAACTGGAAAGCAACATTTTAAGCAGGTTGTGTCTAATTCAGAATAGACAATGCCAATGCCATGATTAAACCCGTTCAGATTTTTGTACACCCGGCATTAAGAGATGTGATTGCTGTCAACCTTATGAAATGCAATGAGGCACTTCAGTCAAAATGCAAATAAAATGTTGCAAATGATTAAGATGTAGGCTATTCTGAAACTTCAAAAATATAATACCAAGATAAGCAAAACAAACTGTGTTAATACTTACAGGCAAAACTTCTTTATGGTGTAGAAGGTGTTAGAGAAATACCCCTGGTAAGTGTTTCTGGATTCCTTCTATTGACTCCTGCAGCAAAACATGGTGTGTCCTCGCCCTGCATTGCGACTGCCTTCTTATAATCCGTGTACAAATACAAACACCCACATGACCCACAAGGAAATTCCTGCTTCTGCCATGGGAAGCAAATTAAAGACTGTTCTGAAAGGGGGAATCCAGAAGACCAATATTCATTTGCAAACAATGAAAAAATAGATGTATTTAGGGCAGCCATAAATGTTTCCCATGAAGAAAAAAGCCTGGAGACACCTTGTTTTAGCTGGTTCAGCTTTCTAAACAGTCCCTTTATTTCCCCAAGCTGTGTCTAAACTATAATATCCACCCATGACTGGAAGATAAAGCCACATTAAGAACCCTAAAATATCATAAAGTACTATAAAATGTAACCAAGTTCAGATTTAAAGAACAGCATTTACTAAAACACAACGTGGTGAAGCAGGATTTCTTATGCTACCTGTGTGATGACAATGCATGTTCATTGTAGGATCAGGTCCGTCTTGGTGATAGGTGAATTTTTTGATTCTCTCCAGAGGCATCCAGTATATCATTAATGAGAATGATTTTACACACTAAACCATTTGGTTAATACCGCAGATGGCAAGGGAATTGCTTTTAGACAGAAAACAGTCATAAATTTAATCAGGAAACAGATTGAAATGCCCTATAGCTTACACGTCACTGTTCAGCTACCTGGCCTGGCTAAAGTGCAAGGGTGAGGCGTCCTTGTCCTGAACGGGTTCCTTCAGGCTCTTGGGCTGCTGGCACAGCCCTCAGCATGTCAGCGGCACCAGTCAGGCGTGATGCCTGTCGGTGGGAAATTTTAGTCTTAAATAACATTAATGGTTTTTGGACACGATGTAAATCAATGCTCCATCTAGCAGAGACGCTGGTTACGACACAAGGGAATGTTTTTCTCCCTTTCTTTCACTACCACTGTAAGTTATCTTTCCAGGTTGCTTTGTCTTCTAGCAGCATCTTCAGGGTTTTTATGCTGATCTTTGTATATTTCATATACTAGAACTAGCCCAAAGGTTGTTCAAGATTCAGTCTCAACGTCTTCCTTTCATTGTTAAGTCAGGAGGTAGAACTCTGGTGCTCCTGTGTGCCATCCTATCATCTTTTTCCAGCAAACCTTCGGTCTAGCAGGAGACCCCTTGCAAACACTGAGAGTGCCTTGTTTGCTTGCCACATCAGAGTGCTGAAGAGCTTCAAATAACACTACTGCTTTGCCTTTTTTCTTAGACACACAGCTACCGTTCCACCTATTAGCTGGAAATTCCCAAGCTGTCCTTCCTTAGTGTCTGTCGTGGTAAATGTACAACAAAATCTGATAAAGATCAGCTCTGTCCACCTTTTTTTTTTTAATTTTAGACATCATGTCCAATAGGGCAAATAGCTTTTCCTACTCACAGAGGAAACTCCTTAGTATTAACTCCTCTGATTCCTCCTCAGAACTCCCTTGTAGGCTGGACCAGGAATCATTTCCAGTAATTTTTATATTTTCCCAATGCTTCTAAGATAAATTTGCTATAGCTTTTTTTTAAATAAAATATCATTCTCAAAGTACCTTTAAGAAAAAAGAGGAAATGTGCTCCTTACCTGTTATGCTGTTACATTCCTTGGCATTATTTCAAAAACTTAAATCACCTGTTTCAGAGCCCCTGCTTGCTGATTTTTGTTCCCAAGGCTCTCCGGCTTCAGAGCTACAATGCATCTGACTAACAGGATAGTTTTGGAGACAGGGGAATATTGTTAACAGAAATACAAAAACAGGTTAAACCTTAAGCAAATAAACACTAATGAACTACAAAGACATGAAAGGGCTTACAGAGATGTAAGGAATACTGGAACGTGGACTGGACATATGGTTGGGCTCAATGATCTTAAAGGTCTTTGACAACCTAAATGATTCTGTTGCTGTATGATTCTGTGAGATATTTCTCATGGTAAAACAGGAATATCTCTAACGCCAGAAAACAGTTGAAGATGGAGCTATTTGCCAGACGTAATAGGAAGAACATTTTCATATGCACTGCTAGACCACTGTACAGTTTAGTGTATAAGGCATTTTTTGCACAGGGCAAGATTAAGTGCTGGTAGATCAGGGTACTTCCATTAAAATATTTTCATTAATTTTGGTTACTCTAAGAGAGGATGTGGTCTGCCTAACCCAAGTCACCCAATGCCAGCTTACTTTTCTAAACTACTTTTCAACTGACACTGTAAACTTCATCTTGACAAATATGCCGAAGACCATCTGCAATCTTGGCTAAGAAGGGTTTTGGGATGTGTTTTGGGATGTATTTTGGCTGGTTTTCACTTCACCAGACTGAGTGACAAACAGGCAGATATTCATAGCAAATTTAAAAAAAGGTCTTTATTGATTTCATGCTCAAGACGTCCATAAAACAATAATTTATTTCATTCAAACAAATGTAAAATTGACTTATGAAAAAAATATATGCCTCACTGCCGCAGTATTTGTAAGAAAATAAATTTCATTATTTGGTAACTTGGCTCTAATAGTATGCACTTATTTCCTCAGAAGATTTCAAGAGTACAGACTACATTAATTGGGAAAAGGGTGAACAACTAATCATTTACCAGTCTAACCAAATCATTAACTTACTTTTTTGACCTAGCTACCAACTTTAAAGAGAATATAAAAAGTAGGAATATAACATCACTGACATAACTCCAAAATACAAGATCAAGACCATACAGTAACTAAAAAGGCACTTCTCAGTTCTGATTCAAGTAAGTATTTCCAGTCTTGGCAAACTTCTTCACAAATAGAAGCTTTATCTAAACACTCATTCACTACTGGAACAGACAATTCTATGATTTCAACATTAAATTTTAATGTTTTATAACAAAGCCTTGGCATTAGCTTTCTGTTGGTTCAAAACTTCTGAATCAACCAGCAGACATTTTTATTTCTGCAAGCAGAAAAACTGCCATACCAATGTTTCAGGCTGTTCTATGGATGAATTGTCATTTGCAAGGCAAAAGTCTTTACATGGTGTTTTAATAAGGCATCATCCAATTACAGTTTACCAATCTTTTATGAAGATTTTCATTTCCATTTTTCTATTTGCTCTATTTCCATACTATTCAGGTAAACCATCTACAAATACTGATTTTTCATTTATCCGTCTTATGCTAGAGTGATAACTAAGTAAATTGACTTCCAGATTAAGCACAGAGCAACCCCTAGTCTTCATTAATGATATTCATAAAAAGGAAATTAATATATTAGACTAAGAAACATCCTTTTAAGTAGCTACAAACTTGGCTTCGTCACTGGACATACCCATAATATGATGGTCTTTGGAAATTTCTGAGGAAATTACAGTTCCATGAGCCAGTAGTGATAAAAAAGATGGAGTCTCACGATCAGATGTTTTTGTTCTTAATCTACTATCCGTTTTCTGGAATAAACCTTTATGGGCCAGGTAGCTGACTCTCAAAACATCTTCAGTAGCCATAAGTCATGACAGCCACACTAAGGGAAATCAAGATACAGTAATTAATATTAGCTGTCAGGTTGCCACAGCATTTATTTCTTCTTTAAAATTTTGCACATTGTCCATCCATCAGATACCCTAGCTTATACAAAAATCTAGTGTAATTACATTTCTGTTATTAAAAATGTGTTACTCCAGTTTGTAATCAAACCTCCTGCCAAAACCATATCCTGATCTCACATCATTGGCTGCATTAAAATACACTTTCAGAAGTAAAGTTCCTTAGTGAGCATAGAGACCACGCAGGGAATCTGCTTCTTCTCACTGAAGCGTGGATCATCAGACTGGGATTCAAAATTCGTGGCAACCACGTAGTTGACCCGTGTGAGGATCTGCATGATCTCAAGTTGTTTTCCATGTTCATTTAGCACCGAGCACAGAGACTGCACAAACCAGGAGCCTCTTCCAGGATTCCTCCAGGAGTAATAACCTTATAGGAAAGACAGACACGAAAGTGCATGGGGTTATTTTTCCTCTTTTATTGTATTATCTGATGCTGAAGGATGGAATGGCAGAGACGTATGTACTAATTTATTCGAAAGATTCTGGGCAAAGAGTAACAACGCACACACAGAAAGTTTAGTTCTTCTCACTGGTGTCACATATCCTACTTCATCAAAGTGGAGAATAATGTGTATTAACTCTCCAAACCTCACAATACTAAAGTACCATTATATATGTTTGCATCTGCGAAATGTAAGAAGTAAGATTTTGTGGGTTTCCTCTCTAAGTTTTGTGCTGGAACTGTTCCTCTTCCTGCCTTCATCAGATATTTCACACACTCACTAAACTGGGAGATGGAAGGGCAGGATTCCCAGAAAACAGCAGTGCCTTCGCCACCTATAATGTCTGTGCATTCTGAGATGCCAGATCTGGGCTTTCTCTGTTTCTGCTACAGCTAGTATAAAAGGGGTGGAGACAACACACTGGCCCAACGTACACTGGGCCTCAGTGTTTTGCCCATCAGTGTACAATGCATTACCAATGATGGTCAGTCTACAGTCTAGTCAATGTGGGTGATAAGTTTGTAGGCTTCTATCCCCACCCTGACCCCCTTTTGTTTTACCTGGCACTGTGGAATATGCAAACAGAAAATCTGCTTCTACTGGGATTTTGTATCTTGGATTGGCATCTGTTTCTAGAGTATCATTTGCAGGTCCAGAGTCGGTTTGTATACCTTCATCAAATTCAGAGCCTCGGCATGCCTGAAAGTAGTGAAGACAAAGAGAACTTGTTCAATAAGGAGAAACAAGGTCTTTTAAAAATAAATATTTGTCAATATTTTTAATGGATATAGTTTTAAGCAGTACTTTGCCTGTTAGGAGCAGGGATGCAATTCTGGGGGACATCTAATTGTTCGGTGACAAAGTTACTAGCTTACCCATTTCAAAATGTACATCCCGTACAGTAAAAGGAAGTAATGGTAGTTTTGACTGACAGATCTTGCCAAAAAATAGCAGTCTGATGGACTTATGTAACATGAGTCAGTTGCCTGTGTTAAGATAATTTTGAAGGTAACACAGTACCCATTCCAAACTCATAAGAAACATCACTTTGGTAGTATAAAGAGTCTAACATAGACACAGTTTTCACTCTGAGGCTGAGGATTAATTGATGGAAAAGCCTACGGAAAGCCACATCTGCTGCAAATCCCATACATATCTAATACCATGATAAAAAAGAGAATTCAGACTGAGGGTATGTCAGTTAATACTGTTTGAAAAAGCCATCTTTAAAAGCTTAAGTAATATACAAGTAATTATATGCTAAAGAAATCATGCAATATAAATTTTTAGGATATTGAAGGAGAGAAAAAGTATTTCTTTTAGCAGAATGCAGTAATTTGTAAAGACAGTCTTTATTCAAAGAGACCTGGACAGTATTATTTCTATTGATAATCATGTACTGTCCTCAGCTCTGTCTGCACTAGAGGGAGTTTATATTTCTGCTTTGAAGTTCATACATTACCAAGCACAAAGAGAAACCATGTACAAAATTACAGTGACAATATGTTCTTTACATCTGCAAACTGTCTATATAAATTATCTTTTAAAAACAAGCAATGCAAGTCACACATTTTTTTTTCCACGAAACCTCCAGCAAAATTCATGAAGTTAACCTACAGGGCTCTTCTAGAGCAGACAGCCAACATAGCACGTTTTCCCCACTGCAGCAGTAGGATCCTGTATTTACCTTAGGGCTATTACCTGAATGAAAAATAATTTGGGTTTGCCTATAAGGCTTTTACACTTGTCTCCTCTGAATAGCGCAGTCAAACTCTTGATAGCCATGGGTCCATCAGTACCATAGATGAGGCCTTCTTCCCCGTGGCTTAGAAGGATACAGGCAAAACAAGCAGCATCACTGTGATTCTCCTCAGCAGCTACAAATCAAATACTTCTTAGCCAAAAGGAAGCAACATTTTGAGTGAAAACTACATTTAGCAAACACATTTTTCTAAGACTAAATATACATTGAGCCTCTACTGGAAGGCATAAGAAGGAGTGGATAAAGATGACACAACCCACTTTTTAGTAATGTAGTGAGTACCTTGAACGCATCCTTCACCTGACTCTGAGTCTAGCCCACTGGAATCAACAGGCTGGACTCTTTACCTGGTATGACAAGGCTCTTCACCTAATACTCAGAACAGGCGCCTCAGCTAATATGACTAAATATTTCTAATATAAGAAAAGTGTGTATTTCTGAACTGACATTGGAGGAAGAGGTGGGGAATACAAGCCCAATCCATTCAGAAACTGAATCCTTCTATATAGAAAATTGCATGCAGTGGGGCTTAAGCAATCTGTTCTAATCTGACCTCCTTGGATCAGAGGGTACATTAGGTGACTTCCAGCGGTCTTTTTCACTCTAAATTATTTTATTATTCTAAATTTTTACCTTGCTTCAGTAATTTTTCCATATCATCACGGCTTCGGTCATTGTATATGTAAACCTCAAAACCCAAGTTTCTAAAACTCTTCGCTAGATCTCCAGCATCTTTATCAGTGCCATTGCGCGTACCCATTCCTGGCAGAAAACAAAGAATACGGTTGATTGCACATTACACAATTCAAAATAATTCACGTGCTCAAAGGTAAATTTTTAGGTTTATAATTAATAAGCCTAAACAATGTCATGATGACATGATTTTGAAACAATCCTCTAACAGCATTCTCAGCATTGAGAACAAATTGTGAGATTTGTTTTAATGCAAAATAATGCAAGGTTCGATGTTAACATGTATCTTACCCTGAAAAAAGCTGGCATGCCTCCAGCACGTTGCAACATAGGACCTCTGTGGATGATTCTATCTCATTTTGGTTATGCAGTGTAACATAAGCATAAAGCACCCCAAGGAAAAACTGTTGAAAAGAGTCCCTACGATATCCACATAAAAGAAACCGATATAAACTCTTTGGAGTAAACACTTCATTTAGTGTGTTTGCCAAGTGTATAGGAAAGGACATATATAATTGACAATAACACAAGTATCTGTCTGCTTTGAGACCAAACATGGCCTGAAAAGTTCAATGCAGGAGTGTGAACAGAGCACAGCTACAGCTATAGGCTTTTGTAGCTCATAGCTGTAGCTCAGTGGCAGAGAAGTTAACATGGGCTACATATGCCAAAGTTCAAATTTTAATAACACAGCCTTAAACTCTGGGACAAAGTTTTAGTTTGAAGTTGGCAAAGCAAGGTGACATTCTCTTTGAAACATACTGCAAAGAAGCTGCAAAGAGCCGCTCCAATATAAGCGTTAAAGAGCAGGAATAAATTGTAGGAACAACTATTTCTCAAAAAAAGATAAATATATTCATTAAAAATCCATGTTCTGAGAATTAAATGATTAAATGCTTATTGATTAATGAAAGTACCAAAATGCTGAAGTCTGTAATGAGTATCATCAAAGGAAGCACATTACCTGTTTTGTCTTCAAAATTTTTGTTGTTTATAATAATACATTTGCCAACATTCTTGTAGTCCATACTATACTGGAATGTGGGTGTGACAATTCGGTACTGGTTACTGAGAGACGACTTTGGCTGTTCTTCTTCTCCATTCTTTTTTTTTCTAGGTGAACCAAATGAAATTATTGTTAGTGGCCAGTCACATGCAGTGTGCCTGTTTATCTTGATTCAAACCATTTGAGAAGCCCTACCCAATGTTTTTTCTTGTATAAAGTTTGTCTTCTTTCTTCTTATTTCAGATCGAGGCACAAAGATCTTGTGATTTCCATGAAGTGATTATTGTTTGCGATTGTTTCTGATGATGGTAATATGACTCTAGAGCCAACTGCAGCCAACAGTAGTATATGGAGATCCTGACCCACACATAAAACAATGGCCTGAACATGAAGTCAGGCTGGCGGTAACCTTTCGCAAACTATGGTTCTGGACATGTTTTACTTTTACTATAAATAAATCATATAAGGACAGGCAGAGACCCCTTAATAACTACTCCAAGCACAAGAAGGTATGCAGGTTACCCAATGGCATGATAGGATTTGTTTATTGAGTCACCATCATCCCTAAACTCTCAGAAGATTAAGACCAAGCAGTAGGTAATTTCTACTGGTAAACATTATAGATGTGAACAGGTCGCATTAATTTGGTCTGCCAAACACCAGTCTGAACCTATGTAAAAAATTAAGCAGATTTTAGTGTAATCGTCGATACCCAAACCAAAATGAGCTATAAATGTTTTCTGTTAATACGACTGTGTACTGACCTTTCTGCTGTGTGCAGGAGTCTTAGATTGGATTAGGAAGACATGCAAAGGGATAGCACAGACACTACTCACCAAATTATTCTAAATGAAGTATTAACAACGAATCAGTTACAGCCAGCATATACACCTGAAGTATAAACACGAGGAACTCTGCAGTACTTGCTTTTAGAGGTAGACTTTTTGGTCCATGCAGGTGGCTTAAGATGTTGGTAAGATCTCCTCAAGCAGAACTGAAGCCAGTGAGAGCCTATGAAGGGTCTGATTCAGCCTCAGAACTATAAACAAGCTTTGGAGCAAGCCTAGTTAGAAACAATGCTCAGGATAGGGCAGAAGAAGTTATCAGCACCTCTCTTATTTGGTCCAGCATCCTGCTTCCAATAGTATTTATTGCTGATATCTGAGAGGAACACATAACCTACATTTGCAGCACAAATAACTGTATAATACAGTTTCTTTCTAACAAAATTAGATTTTTCCCACAATCTCAATTAATTTAAGTACTTTCAGTATTCTCACACTGACATCTTTCTAAAGAATTACTAGGCTATTGCTTCAATAATAGCCTGTAGACATGAGATTCCTGCGAATTGATTAAATGTTGTTTAGGTAATCTACTTTCTTACCTTCCCGATTTAACAATTGTTGTGTTTTAGGTTTAAGTGTCCTCTTTTTCATTACTGAAGGATAAGACTAATTGGAAACTATAACAAACCTTCTCTGGATGATTCATCATGTTTAAATGCTATTGCAAGTCAATTTTAAAACAGCTTTGTCTTATCTTTGAGTGTCCTGATGTTGTTATAATGGGCCAGATTAAATAGCTGCATCTGGTAGGCTTTCTCTGGACTCTTTTTACATGTAATCACCCCAATATCATTTCCTCTCTTAGACTTCTCTTAGAGATTACAAAACAAGATATCTACTTGAGGATTTTGTCTGATACTCTGGAAGTACAGGTTTTTTCTGGCAAATTGCAAGTATTGGTATTCTCCTCGCATACTGCTTCTTGAGGGCTCTGGGAACAATAATTAAGTATGCTTTGCCTCAAGAAAAGATTTTAACCATTTTAAAGAATTATCCACAGCTGTATGATGTTAATATTACATTTGACTTTCAAAGAGATCTTGGGTTCTTATTTTAACCTAAAATTCCCCCTGGTCCTACATCACTAGACAGCTCTCTGGCAAGGAGAGAAAAAGAAATTCCAAAACAACAGATAACCACTCTGGTTGATGAAGAGGCTAGGTTCCTCAGTCCACGCTGGATTCAAGTCTCTACAGATTTATCTGGTTTCACTGGCTTCCTGAAAATGCGGTATGACTAGCAGTCGCTGTTACACACAATAGGATTATTTTCAAGGGGATTGTACGCAAATTTCTGCTTATGTCCATCCCACGAACAGTTGTGAACACTCGGGACAGATCCACATGAGCAGTACGGTATCATGTTTGCACTGTCTGCTCTCCTAAAATGCTGGAAGAGATCTAATGCTAGTCCAGCAGTCACACAGCCACGTTACCTCACAAAAAGCCTCACTGAAAATAGCAGCTGGGGTTAAGTAGCATAGTAATGTAGCCACACAACTTCTCTGAAACCACTTCATTTTCTAGTTCAATAGTTTACACGCATTCATGCAGAAACACTTGGGCGTTTAAGTGATGTATCTGCTGCTCCTGCTGCTATTCCCAAAAGTACGCCAGAAGCTCTATGCCGGTAAATGTCACATGTCACTGACAAACCTCATCAGCACAGTAGCACACATAACTCTATCATTTCCCCATTCTTTTACAGACTATAGTATGGTTTTGTTCTCATGATTCCTTCCAAGCTGAACAGGCTAACGAGCTACTAAGCAACCACATGCTTTGTAGGGTTACGCCTATCATTTCTTTACTGGCAGACAACAAAAATTTCCAGAAATCTTTTGGTATCTGTCCAAACTGAGCGAATAAGGAAGCAAAGGTTGTGGACTACACATATCCTGGGCCTGCAGTCCAGGGAGAAATTGTTTTTTGAAGATTCTGTTTTCTGCCAACATAGCGCAACAAGGGAATTGCCTGACTGGACTAAACTGACAGTATAAGGTTCAACTACGCAGTTTCAACAAGTTAAATCAGACCTTGTAATAATGACTAATGAAGTAATAAATATGTAATAATCAGTCCTTAAGGGAAATGCCCTGTCTGTGACAGGCTGGCTTATGAGTGAAAGCATAAAGCATAAAGCATTTTTATTTTCTAAGCTCTGAACGGGAAACATGTTAACATAAATGTTTACTGCTGTTTTTCTTACTAGGCTTTCTAATCACTGTATTTTCCATAAGGGTTTCCACAGATTAGTTATGTGCTGTTACAAAATGTTTTAAACTATTTGCCCTCAGTTTTATTTCATTCTGCTGCTCTGACATCCAGTGTCATTAATTTCCCTCTTTTGGGATTCGAACTTGCCCAGAATAAATAGAAACTTGAATTTTATGACTGTTTACTCTTTCCTCAGCTTTTAATTACAACTGTGCTGTAGCTCCTCACTCTGTTAGTGGTCACTGATCTTTCCCTTAGACAGAAATATTCTTTCTATCAGTGCTCTCACATATTTCATGTTCTCTCCCTTCAGTCAACAGTTCAGCAAAACTAAAACCCCACTCTGGCACCCTCATATAGCTTGCACATTTTCACCCCTACTGTGTCTCTAGATTCAGGCCCTAGGCTTGACAACGCTATGTCTGGGCATGTGATTTCATCAAGTCTAGACTGTCAACCTTGGGAAAATCATTATTATCAACTTCTCACTTTTTAAAAATAAAATTAAAGTTACCCATACCATTTATCACTTTGTTATTGAGCTTTGCAATAGTAAAGGCCAAAGGCTAAAATTCTGTCAAAGTCAATGGAGATACATCACTTGCACTAGTAGTGAACTTGATTGTCTAAAGGACTGCTACTCATCACAACACACTTTCTTTTCTGTTACATTTTGAATAAATTATGATTTCAGTATGTACGGATATCAAGATTTAAGGATAAAAATATCACTGTTAACGTTTAACTATACCTGAAGATTATTTTCAGTAACAGTTTTACTGAAAGCAGTGTCTCTTAGCAGCCGAGATTTCCTCTCCTTTGGCTTCCTTTCTCCTGGCACCTTCCTGCACTTTCTTTGCTACTGTACATTAGTTTGACATACGAACATACTAAGAATCCTTGTGCAGGGGAATGGCTTCCCTGAGTGATGTGGTCTCTCATCATCTCTCCCACCTGCTACAACCAAGCTCCTGGGTTCGGGTCTGCCAGCTCTCCAGAGTCACAAGTGTTTCGGTGAGAGCCAGCTGCTTCACTTCAAATGTAGAGTGATATATTTCCAGGGGAAGGTTCTTCACTTTCTATCACATTATATAATTAATGCCAGCTGTCTAGTCTGGTATTGCCCACCTTTGTGCAGAGTGTAAAGGCCAGTGATTGTAAAAAACCCTTCTGCTCTTAGAAAGCTGGTCTGCTGTAACAGTATGGACTCCCCTTTGAATACTACCAGCATAATGCAGGGAAAGTTCTCAAGAGAGCAGTGGATGAAAGGGAAACATTAAGAAGAAAGTGCAATCTCTAGGGTAGAAAGCATTATACCAATCCATTTACTAAACCTCAGCATTAACAGTGATTAAAAAGAGGATGATAGTGACTGTCAGACAATAGAAAACATGAGCTGCTTGGCCTTAAAAGCAATGTGACACTTAGCACACAGAAGAAACAGCTCTCCCTGGCAAAGAACAGTCACTTAAAGAGCCTTACGGGCAGAGGATTAGATGAATAAAGATTAATTTCACCATCATCACTTCCCAGTCACAGGATGGGAGGAGTTTACTGTTTGTGTTTTTCCTGTTTATTGGCTTTTCTAAAAGGAAATGAATGTGTTAATTAAATTCTAAAAACGATACTACAGAGGGATATCCAGGCTTTGAAAATGTTCATAGTCCCTTTCTCTCCCAGTAAAGTTAGGGACTTTTGTTGCTGTACGGAAAAATGTAACCAGGTAAAAAAAAAATCTACAGTTATGGTACTATTCAAATTAAGGAAGTTGACATTCAGAGGTGGGTGGAAAAGCAAAACTGATTACATTTGTTTCTATTCAAAGTACACACACGCAACTCTGTCTTACTCTTGCTCTATGAAGTTCAGTAAATTTGGGCTTTATGTGACAAGGAATATCACAGAACATTGTGACAGTTTTTACTGTAGCATGCTTCTTTAATATTATTTGCAATCATATAACATTTTTGAATGACTGATAACAGGTTTCTGTTAAAAAGAAAATTTGCCTTAAAAAACACGCTATCTTTACAGAACACAGCA